CCCCAAAACCCCAAAACCCCAAAACCCCAAAACCCCGTAATGAAATATGCATAAAACAATTTGCACAATACTTATTAAATTTAGACAAATAATTTAGAGTTTGTGAAGTGATAATTATTTTCAAAGTAGCATTTGACTCATTGCAGCATTATGAAGAATGTGAGATTTTCTGACGTCATTTGAGGGTGATGTAGCCATCATTTGAGCTCTGCTTACAACTTAATTTAAGTAAGGATTTCTATTATAGTTAGGTATCGGATTTGTAATAGTATTGTATTATCCTTAATCAACAACAAATCCTATAAATATAAGTTAAGCCTGTTGAAATTACTTTTAGAATATATTCTATCTTTCATGGGATGATTTTCGATGTTAGCATCACTTGTTATATTTTACAAGAATTTTTACCCGTAAGCTGTAGACTAAGCTGTTTGTGGGTTATGATCATGCATTGATAATCCAAGTTATTGAAGTGATTAGCTTTCATTGAATTTGTCTATAATAAAACAGTTAGATTTGAAACTATTTAGATACTTACTTGAAGTCATACCAAGTGGTGATCTCAAATCATTCACTGACATTGTAAGTTTAAGTTTACCTGGGAGTTCACCTTCTCTTGGCTTTGCTCTCTTTAATGGAGCAGCTCCTACTGACTTTATATTATTAATACCAGGTATCATAGCTTCAAACTATGCTTGATGCTCCTTGAAGTGATGCAAGTCTTCCTTATTAATTCTCTTCTCTTCATACGTCATCTTTCCATAATTCTACTTTTGAAGCAATTGCAGATTTTTCTAATATGCTAATGCCTATGAGTACATTTGCTTTCTCTCCTGGTCTTAAATCTTTTTTTATCTATCTTCTTCGACTAGTTACTATTGCTATCTATCTTTGACTTCTTTCTCCTACAAAGTAACCATCTTAAGTCTTTCCTTTTCTTATTCTTTCCATTGGAGTTACATGTCTAGCCAGCTTTAACAGTTTTGCTTTTAATTCTATTTCTATACTTCCTCTTGGTAGGCTTTTTACTCTGCAATTTTCTGATACATTTTGTCGTTATTCGATTCCCAACTCATCATTCTCTAAGTTTTGAGACGCTCTTATTCACCAACAACAGTATCATGTAAGACCTGTCTTTGATTCAGATTCTGATTGTATCTTGCAAAGTATCGTTTATATTCGTCTTCTCTATCTCTAAGTTTCTGCTCATTATCATCACACATTTTCCTATAGTTTTCTTTCTTTTATTCATCAACTTCCTTGTCTTGTTCCTTCATTTGCTGTCTAAATCTTATTAATTCCTGCTAGGCTTAATTGAACTCTGCCCTTTACAATAGTCTTTTGAAGTTTTCATCATCCAAAGACTGCTTAGCTCTGGCCACTCTCATTTAATCCTCGAGCATTTCTCTTTCTTTTTCATTTAAGATCTTGTTTTTATGCTAGTCAGACAGCGTCTTATATGAGTCTCTCAAATATGCCTTTAGATTGGTTTCTTCCTCTTACTTTCTGACTTTATACTAGAGTTTACAAGTTAAAAAAATTTGCGAATAACTGATTAATTTATTTTTGTGTAACTGCAATAACTTACTTATTATAGCTCTTATTGCTTTTGCTAAACTTCAATACTCTCTTGCATCTTTTCCTTTTCAATCTGTTCCTTTTTCAATTTTTCTCTGAGCAACCTTGCAGCTTCTAATTCGTCACTGTATTGTCTCTGTTGTTGTATTTTAATCTCCTTCTCTCTTTTTAATTGGTCCTGGTATTAATCATTCATCGTCTTTGAAAGTGCTCTCCACTCGTCTACCACTCCTCTGTTATCAACTGGATAGTGAATATCCTCTTTCTAATAGTAATCTTTCTTGTAGCCATGAGTCTTAGCTCTTAATGGGTCATTCTATTTCAATAATGAGATAAATTTGATAATTTGTGTACCAAATCCATTTTTGGATAATCCTTTAATCTTAATTAATTTACATTTTAGCAAAATATTGAATATTAAAAGTCATGGGGTTTTGGGGTTTTGGGG